CTTTTTTTCTAAATAATTAGTTATCAACATTACTTGGGCACCGATTTTTAATTCTAACTTGGCGGCTGCCAGACAATCCCGAATTAACTCTTTTAATTTGCCGGGTTCTTTTTCTTGGTCTTCGGCCGCAAACAAGTAAGAAGGTCCGGGTAATTGAACTAACTCTTGGTTATTAGTGGCTTCGGCTTCCTGGCTGGTAGCGTATAAACTAACTGGCCTAATCCCATCGTCCGGTCAAGTTGGCTCGCGAGCCAATAAGGAGACAAATTTTTCCCAGCGGCTTTTGGAGAAACGACCCAGCCGAATATCCTGCAAACAATTAATAAATCAATTATTTTTTTGCCGAAATACCTGGGTTAAATTGACGGTCTCCCGGATATAATTTTCCCAGGATTTCGCCGCAAAGCAATAAAGCGGAGATTTGCCAACTGGGGGAAGTTGGCAGAAATCTCCGGCTAGAATTAATTGGATACCACCGAACGGTTGCTCGTCCTGTCGAATTCGGCGAGCCAGACTTTCGAGTTTATCAAATAATTCCCCACCTAGCATGCTTATTTCGTCAATAATTAACACCTTAATTTTCCGCCAGTTTTTACGGGCATAAGAAGAACGGCTAAAAGTTGATTTAAGCAAATGTTTTGTGAGCGGTCAAATTTATGTGGCTCTTTCTCGGGCCAGTGACCCACAACTTCTCCAAGTAATTAATTTTCCTTATCGTCGCTTGTGGTGTGATTATAAAGTTCAGAAGTATTATTTTAGACTTAATTCTGGTAAATAAATGGATTCTATAATTATACCTAAAAGTTTGAAATGAGATGATTGCTACACAAAAGATAAAAAGAATGTGAAGTATAATTGATTAAATGAGTAACAAAGATTTGATACCCGAAAAACTGGAAGAGAAAAAGATGAGTGAAGAGGAACTATTAGTCAGTTATCGGTCAATTTTATTCATGCTGAAAATGAAAAATAAAGTGGGGCAATTAGCAAAAACTCATCAAATTAAGCGGTTGAAGAAAGAAATCGCCCGCTTACTAACAAAGAAATAAAAAACAATGAAAAGGACTAAACAACCTAAGCAAAAGAGGGAGAAAAGGAAGTATGGTTTTTTGGCTCGGATGAAGAAAAATTATACCGTAGTGGTAGCCCGCCGAAAAAAAGGTCGGTGGCAGTTAACAGCCTAAAAATGACGTGCTGGCATCGCACGGTCAAGAAAAAATTCATTATCGTTGCGGGGTATAAGAGGTTAAAAAATGGCAAAAAGAGTAAATAAATCCCCTGGGAAGAAACAACCGTTACCTATTGTTGAAATTGAATCAACTAAACCAACGAAATTAAAGGAGAATCAAAAAAAACTAAAAGCAGAAATTCCTTTGGAGTTGAAGCAAGATTTCATTAAGATTTCTTCACGATTTAATAAGTATTGTAAACTCCTAATGGCGATAATTATCTTTTATATCTTTGCTTATCTTGGTTGAGAAAATTTTGTTTCCCAAGCAATATCCTCAGGATGAACCAAAGATTGAGAGGAAAACGCAAAATTTTTCTTAACTTTAATAGGGGCGTGCCTTCAAGGGTTTCTTTTTAATTTGGATGGGGTAGTCACTACTCTCTTAAAATCTCCTTTCGGTCAAATATGCTTTGTGATTAATAGGTCAAGTCTAATGGAAGAAGAAGAAAAGGACCAAGTCATCGATGGTCTAACTGAAATTAACGAACAATGCAAGGAAACTCTAAAAAAATTAGGGTTGTTGGCTCTCGTTAGCAAGTTGGGAAAATTATTGGAAGCAGTATGATATGGGACAAATCCGAAACAAGGGATTATTTACGAACAAATAATGTTGATTAGTTATTTCATTCCTCTAATAAAGGCTTACGACATAATTATTAAGATTAGAGCGAAAATAAATGAGGTGCGGAAAAGATTACAAAAAACTTACTAGTTCAGTATTTTGTTTATACAGACCGCTAATGAAAAAAGTGACTTATTAGAACACCACAAAAAATACTTACCAAAGTAAACAAAGAAGAGCCTTGGGAATTTTTTCAGCCTCCGAAAGTTAAAAACAAAAGCACAGTAATAAGTGTTTCTGGCCCTCAGTTTTCTAACAGATATTTACGAAGAGTTCGGCGACGAGGAATTTGTCTAAGAAACACAATTTTTCGCCCGATTTTAAGAAAGAAGCGGGAAGTGGCGGGAAAGAGCACAAGTAAAGCATGTCACCAAAAATTAGTCGGGTGCGAAAATAAAGGGTGTAAACGATCGAAAGCACAAGGATGAGCCACTAATAACCGAGTTAAAAACAAAATAATTGTAAAACCAGTTAATAGTTGGGCTAGCAAATAGAAAATTTTTTCGGGATTGGTTTTTGTTTCTAGTTCATTCAGAGAAAGTAGTTTGGAGGGTGAAAGCATTTTTTTCCGCAAATTCTTAAAAAGTGCACGGAGAACTGCGGTTAAAATTAATTCCACCACCGCTATTTTAAGAAGCATTTCGGCCCATAAGTGTTCTTTTAATCCTTGGCTTAGCCAATTAAGCGGCCTCAAAAAAAAGAAAACAGCCGGGTCCTCTGTCAAAATTTCTCATCATCCCCTAGTGTCCAACTCGGCAACTGTTAACTGACTACTGGATAATAATCCTTTAATATCGGCAATAATTTCCCCCCGCAAACTTTTAAGTTTTTTTTGGTATACTTGGGTTTCCGCTCAGAAACTTTTTTTTCATCTCTCTAAGTTATTAATTTCTTCTTTCAATTGGTCTAATTTTTGCAACTCCTTTCTTCTTTTTTCTTCGAGTAAAGTTGGTTCTGATAGACCAGTTTTTTTTCTAATTTGGATAAAAATATCCTCGCTAATTTCTAACAAAGTCTTTTTTTTCCCATCTCAGCAGTGAACTTCGGCGTGATCGCTAACTTTATTTATAGAGTCATAGTTATAATAGTTTTCGTATTTAGTGAAGAGAAGATAATGGCAAGATAGCAACGAAAGAAAAAATCACAAAGCAGTTTTAATAATCCTTTTGGTTCTTCCTCTACTAAACATATATAATTAGAATATTACTTTTGGTGCTTGTCTTTGACCCAATTAGCAACTGATAATAATTTGAATAAACTTTCCCGATTAGCCACAAAATTTTGCCCTAAATAAGTCGGGCGGAGCATTAGGATTAAGTTAACATGGTGGTGATTTTCCGTGGTGCAACAACTATCATTATGTTTTTTTAAGTGCTGGATTAGAATGCTGCGGATTTCCCTCTTGTAATAATTACGTTTTGCCGCCTTTTTAACTATTTTGCGGGGAATGCTAATACCAAAGCGGCAATTATTAACTTCATTTTCGGCCACAAAAACAGTGAATTGACGATTACCAAATTTTTTCCCTCTCGTAATAGTTTTTTGGAACTCTCATTTTTTTCGCAAACGATAAGGCTTTCACAACACTTCTTTAATTCTAAATATTTATTAATCAGTTCTTCTTAAAATTAAAAGAAAATTTGGCCGTGGCAGAAAAAAAAGTAGCAAGTTCTGTGAATCCGGGCTTAGTAGAAGTTGTAAAAGGAAAATCATGGTGATTGAAACCAAAAAAATCCGTAATTTTGCCATCATTGCCCACATTGACCATGGCAAGTCAACCCTGGCTGACCGCTTACTAGAATTGACTAATTTAAAAAACAGCCAAAAATCATTGGAAAGAATTTTAGATAGCCTAGCACTAGAACAAGAAAAAGGAATAACCATTAAACTGAACGCAGTCCAACTCCGTTATCCCCCTGAAAGCCCGAACCCTTTCATTTTTAACTTAATTGATACGCCCGGCCATGTGGACTTTATGTATGAAGTCTCACGTTCTTTGGCCGCGTGCGAGGGAGTAATTCTTTTAGTTGATGCTAGCCAAGGCATCCAAGCCCAAACCCTAGCCTACTACGAAATTGCTAAACAACTCCAACTAAAAATCCTCCCCGTTATCAACAAAATTGATTTACCCACGGCTCGCCCAAAAGAGGTCCAAATTCAGTTACAAGGACTTCTCGGTTGCCAAGAAAAAGATACAGTATTAATTTCCGCCAAAACCGGACAAAACGTAAATTTATTGCTGAAAAAAATAATTACTGATATTCCTCCACCCCAACAAGAGCCATAAGCCTTAATGTTAAGAATCTTATACATTCCCGGCAGCAAAAATTGAAAGTGCTCCGTGAGAAGACAAAAAGAAAAAATATTTGTTATTTAGTACCAGTTCTTTATGCCAGTTGGAAAATTTGACAAACTGAGAAATTAATTAGGAAAATTAAGAGAATAAGAAAACTCACCAAAAGTGGTCCCCTAATGATATTGATTTTACTCTCTGGCTGTTAATTGCTATAAAAATCGCCAGAACCCGGAAGAATTGTTTTTTTAATCCTTTTAAAAAGGAAAGAACGTGGAAAATATTTTTTAAAAAATGCTACTCTAATGATGTTTTTTGAAAAAATATCTGGCGGAAGTGAGAGGATTCGAACCTCCGCATAGGTTATTAGCCTATCTACCAGTTTTCCAATCTGGTCTCTTCAACCGCTTGAGTACACTTCCACAATCTCGGCAACATTAGTTTATTTAATGAAAATTTGATAAGTCGTGGTATTGATAGTGAATTTTTTTCTATTTTCTTCGCTTTTTTCCTTCAAAAAATTTCTTTAATCGTTATTTTCTGAATCTAAATGCCCCCTTTTGGAAATTTTTGGTTCAATCAAACTTGAGCATCAACATGATTTCTAAAAATTATTGACACTTTACTTGCCATCCTTGTTCCGGTATTGTAAAACTGTAAATATTACTTAAATTTGATAAATGGAAAAAATTGAAGGTATAAAAGCAGCCGGAAAAATTGTGGCTAACATTTTGAAACAACTAAAAAATGTAGCCGAAGTGGGTGTGTCTGGCCGAGACCTAGAAAATATTGCCAAAAATCTCATGGAAGAAAACAAGGTCCAATCTTCAATTTTCAACTATCAAGGATTTCCGGGTTATATTTGTGTTTCCTTAAACAACGAATTAACACACGGCATTCCCGATGACCGACCTTTTCAGGACGGCGATTTAGTCTCAATAGACGTAGCGTGTAATTGTCATGGCTACCATGCTGACGCCGCCTTAACCTTAATTATCGGAGATGGAGACACCAAAAAAAAAGATTTACTAAGGGTCACGAAAAACAGTCTTTATTACACTATTCAGAATATCCAACCTAACATTACTACTACCCAAGATATTGGGGCCACTCTGGAAAAATTCATCCGCTCCCGGGGTTATTATCCTATCAAGGAGTATGGAGGTCATATAATTGGCACAAGCATGCATAGCGACACGTATCAGGACCAAGAAAGAAAAATATTTATTCCTAATTATAAAACTAAGGATAAGGGGGAAGTTCTTCGCACCGGAATGTTTATTTGTATTGAGCCATTAGTGCAAATAAGCGACGCCAAAGTCGAAGTAGCAACTGATAAGTGAACGGTTTTTTCTCCCCACGGGAATTTAAATGCTCATTTTGAGCATACTGTTTATATTGGCCCTGACAAAGCCGAAATACTAACGGATTATGACGAATAACAAAGATTTTTTATACGCGGAAGGCAAAATAAAAAGGTCGGTGGGGAATAACGACTTTCAAGTGGAATTAACCAAAAATAAGCAAATTATTTTAGCCAAAGTTACTCGCCGTTTTCGGAATAGTGCCGAACGCGGCAAAAAAAAATTAATCGAAGGTGATTTGGTTGTAATAGAAATCCCCCTTGACGATTTAAGTAAAGGACGAATTATTAGATTTGCGAGTGAAAATAAATAAATGTTCTTTTAGTTTATTTTGATTATTTCTCGTTCTTCATTTGTTTTTTTTACAGACAGATTACACTCATTACAAGTTAATTTCAACTAACAAGCCAAATGAAAAAGAAGATAATTACTAAAAATACGTGATTAAAGTACCCAACTTAGTTATTGAGTCTAATCCACAACCTTTATCACAAAATAAACGTCGCCCCTAGTTCCACCATGTAAACTGTCGTTGCCCGTGCCCCGAAAACGAACTTTTTGGTTAGGTTTGAGACCAGTCGGGACACTAATTTCCAAAGTTTTCTTTCGGATGACAAATTTGCGACCAAGACATTGAGGACAACTACCTTGGCAGCGAGGACAAGTAGTTTGAAGACGAAAATTTCCTAAAAAGGTTTGCTGAACGGTGTTGATTACTCCTTGTCCTTTGCAGATTACACATTTAGTATCAGTTCCAGTTTGTTGACATCGCGAACAAATCCTAGTAACAGAAAAAGCCACTTTTTTTTTCGTTCCGGAAATTAATTCTTTTTGAGTCAAAGGTAAACTAAAAACTAAATCTTGCCCGGGTTGGGATTTTTTTTCTCTGTTAGCAGCACGGGCTCTATCTTGCCAGTATTCCGTTCCTCCCCGAAAATCAAAGTCCTGCATAAAACTGCTGAAAATCTCATCAATAATCGGAGAAGAACGGCGAAATCTTTCAAAATCAGTTCCGCCGGACGGACGAAAAAAAGCCTCTTCGCTACCATAAGCATCATATCTTTGTTTTTTTTCTTTATCACCAAGCACCCCATAAGCCTGGTTAATTTCTTTCATCTGTTCTTCCGCCTTTCTTTTTTCACCCTCGCTTTTACTAGCTCAACGGTCGGGATGTCATTTGAGTGCCAATTTACGATAAGCCTTTTTAATTTCCTCCTCGGAAGCATTTTTAGGTACTCCTAATATTTGGTAATAGTCTTTTTTTGGCATGATAAATTACCTTTTGAAATTCTAATAATTATTTTTTTGTCTTTCTCAATTAACTTTATTTTTCGCTAAGTAGGCTTCAGTAATATTTTTTTCGTTCATACCTAGTCTCCGACCTAGTTCTTCAAAAATTATTAATCAGTGGTAGAAACTTTTCTGACTTTCTCTGGGGTTAGTTTCTTCTTTATCCACTACTATCATTTTTTCCGTGGCGGAAAAGAGCCCTAAAATAAGTTGGTTGTATTGGATTATGGGGGCGAGGGACAAATCACAAGGAACAACATTAGCGGTGTTGTTGTCTTCCTCGTCTGCGAACATTGGCGAAAATTGGTAATCCGTAAAATCAATCTGAAAAGTATTCGCGAAACTCAAATAAAAATGAAAACAATCGATTAATTCTTCTCGGGCTTTATCTCAATTGACATTTTTCTGGCTTTTTCATCTTTTAAAAGTTTGCAATTCGTTGGCTAATTCACCAATTTCCACTAAAAGAGCAATTTTGCCTCATTCATAACCGCTTTTGGCTTTGGTATCAGTAATGTTATTTTTTTGGATAATAAATTCGTCTAATTTTTTTTGCTCGGCTTGCAATTTTTTTAAGGTTCTACTACTTAGCATTAAATTTAATTAATTTTTTTAACTTATTAATATTACATGTCAACAAATAAAACAAATAATATTAGTAGAAAGAAAAAACTATGGTAGAAAAATGTTTGTTTTGCCAAATCGTTAACCACGAAAAAGAGTATTTATTACTACCTCAACGATGATAACTTTGCTTGAATCACTGGGAACCAAGCGACTAAAATTCACGAATTCATTAATAAAGTTAACACTTGAAAACAACACCTAAATACCAAGATGACCCTGATTGACTTTTTTATGGGAATTTTGAACAATTTTGCTTATTGAGAACACTTAAAAACTAAAACCAACCACCTTCAACGAGAAAAAAACATTCATCAATTCTTCAACATTGTTCA